CATGTGATCCTTGCCTCAGCTGGGATTACAGGCATGAGCCACTGTGCCCAGCAGACCTCACATTCTGTAATGGGAGTGCCAGCAACTGAGGCCAAATTCTTCCAAGTCGGAGGCTCTCAAAGAAGCAGTCCGTATTCCCATCACCACCTTCCCCCAGCCCATGTAGACAGACAAGTGGGAGAGGGAGAGTAGGAATTGCTGGGAGAATGATTTAGTTCTGTTCCTCCCATTGTTGGTCTCTTGAGTTCAAGTTGAGGCATCGATTAGAATCATTTATCAAGAATGCAGGATGAGGGTGCCTGCAGGAGGCAGAAATGGTCATACTGTTCGAGGCTGGATACTGGCTGAGATGTTGGTATTCTAGGTCCCATCTGGTGCTGGGGATATGGGGATGGAGTTCTGGACAGAGACTGACCTGTATCCATGGGTGTTTGTGGGGCTGTTTAGGAACATGGGAGCTGTGCCTGCTTTAGCCATCTTACGAGAGGAGGCTCAGGCACATGGGGAGAAGCACTGTGAGGTAGTTTGCCTGAAAAGATGGGTCCCCACACCTCAGCTCCTACAGTCCTCAGAGGTGGGGAAGAATACCCAAGTCATTTCTGATGCTCTGAATGGGAGGACAGAGTAGGAGGGGCATAGACCTTTGGAGAAGCCAAAAGGGGCCATAGCTGTCCTTCTCAGTGACAGATGGACTGGAGTCACACCAATAGGGCTCTCAGAAAAACATATCCACCGTCTTCTCAGGCCGAGGCCACCAGCAGCAGATGGGACCACACACAAGAGGTGAGGACCTGTGTGTCCCCCAGCTGTACCCTCACTGCCAGCTCCCAGCCCCATGGGGCTTTGTGCACTCAAGTTTGAGAACCAGGCCCTGAACGATGGGGGACAGCAGTTCCAGGATAAGGCCTCACCTTTCCTCCCACCCTACCCCGTGGTGCTCAGAGAGGAGCGAAACAGCACAACTCTCCTGTCCCCGCCCCACTGCAGATTGCGTCCCCTCCCTGAGTGTAGCTCGTGAGAGAAGGGAAGAAGGTCAGATCAGATGTGAGATTGACACTTTAGAATAAAATAAGATAACTTTTAATAAAAGAACTGAGCAGAAGTTAAAGGAATTTGCCCCAGATGCTATTAAGGGATGGAAGCATGTAACTCGATAGTGCACGGCTGAAGGCAGGGATGGGAGAAACGGAACAGTTTTACGTTCTACTGGTTTAAATTCACCCCGCACATAAGACTTCGTTTTTATAGCAGGTGGATCAAATACGTCTGTAGAGCAGATGTTCTCAAACTTTGGTGCCTGTATCAGAATCACCCAGAAGGTGCATTAAAACACAGACTGCGGGGCCTTCTACCCAGGGTTTCTCATTCATTAGGTCTGGGGTGGGAGGGAGAATCTGCCTCTCAAATGAGTTCCCAGCGGGTGGTGACGCTGCTGGCCTGGGGACCGCTATTTGAGAATCACTGAAATGTGTATTTAACGTACACAGTGTTGAAAACAGGCCCTCGAGCATCCTAGGATACCAGTGAGGGTGCTGGTTTTCTTTATGTCATCCGTCTGCTTCCTCCGGGAGGAGCGATGCTTCAGCATTGTGTTGGTCCTCCTGCGTGTTACAGAACTAACTGGAAATCCCTTTGCCCTACAGATAAGTCTGTTATACCACCCAGGATTTCTCTCACACTCACAAGGTCTGCTCTGCCCAGGCGGGTTAGCTACGATAGCACATCTTCAAGTGGGGCCCAGGGTGCAGAGTCAGGGCTGTGTGAGCAGGGCGGGAACATCCTCCAGCCTGCCCTGTGGAAGCGGGGGCTGCCCTTGCCTCCTGCTCATCCTCGTGCCTCACAGCCAGTCCTCCACGGTCTGCTGGCATCTCCTCCTCCAAGGGAGCAGCGCTCACATGTGGACCCTCATCAGTCTGGTTTGGGTAAAGTTGATCCTATCCAAGGGGTGGATAGGATGGTTCCCTAATCAGGCCGATTAGAGATCTCATTCTCCTGCCTTTGGCCATCTATTCAGGGGTGGGAACCTGGCCAGAGTCGTTTCTGGAACATTTGCCATAGGTATGTGATAAAGTAAGGTCTCTCTGGAAGTTTGAGTCCTGAGGACTGAGGAATCCGGCACTTCCAAGTGTTATGAAGGGAGCGGGTAGAGAGCAAATGAAGAGACTTGGTGACTTTATTAAGGTCATGGAGCCAGCTTATAATTTGGGCCTACCTTTTATGTGAAGAAATAAATTCCCCACAAGTTAATTTGGGTTGGATTATTATTCTTGTGACCCAAAGTTTCAACGAATACACTTACTTACCTGCCTTTTTCCTATCTCCAAACGTTTGGACTCTCGTCCACCCCACTGCTCTCCCTGAGCAGGCCTGAATCTCAGCAACAGCCTCCCAATCCTGTGCGAGTCAGGCTTGCACTGCTCGGCGGGACGCGTGCCTCTAAGTAATGAATTCCGGCTGACAGCTTGCCCAGTGCACTAGACTTTGATGGGAGGGTTTGGGGTAGCTTCAGTGAACAGTGATTCTGCCCAGCACATTTCCCGGGGCGGGAGTGCAGCACTGGTGAACTGTGATTGCAGCCTCATGGAGACTTACAATGTAAAGTCCCACTGCAAAGAAAAAGTTGTCATCTGCCTCCAAAGACCTCTAGTGTTCATCAGGAAATGTCCAGAGTCTTTAGGCTGTACCCCTTTATTGGGTAAATAAAACTGCCCTGGGCCCAGTTTTATCTGTAAACCCTGACTGCTGCAGGGAAAATTGCTCAGGGACCGCTGGTATAAACTAGCGCAGTGGGCTCCGTTACCAATACAAGGCATCTGTTTCACCCAATAACGTTAGCACAACATCCCCGTAGCAGGAATGTGACCTACTCAGCACCTCGACTTCCCAGTACCGAGGTATAGGAGACCACCACGAGGCAGCCTGGGTGAGCCCAGACCCATGCAACTTTTTAATGCATTTCTAAAACACGTGGATCCCCATATTTATGGAAATTGACCTTTAACTGTAGATTTCATAGAAAAGGATTTAAATCGCACATTGTCTGGTGAAACTGAACAAAATTCCATTAGAAAACAGTGCTGTGATCTTTCCCAAGTGCCAAACACTGCCGGCAGCCTCATGGCTCCCACAACCGGCCTCTAATGCGTCCCACTCTTGTTCTGAGGCAGTTCTTCAGGTGGGATGCAGGACCAACATCAGAATTAGCATCACCTGGGACATTGTTAGGAATACACATTCCTGGGCCCCACGCTAGGCCTATTGAATCAGGAACTCTAGAGTGGGGGCCGCAATCTATTTTAAAAAGGTCTTCAGTGAATTCTGATGCACACTTGAGTTTGAGAACCAGTGGCCTAATTGATTGAGCTCCTGCATCAGTTTCTACACCACACCCAGCAACACAAAAGACCAGAAGAGGCCAACAGGGCCTACCTATTGCTCCTCAGGCAGGTCTTAGGGAGTCTTGACTCTGGCCCCAGATATGTATGAGTGGCATCTCCCCATAAGAAAGGGGCAATTTTTCTACCAAGGTGAAAAGTGTCTCTACATTCTGTCACACTGATGACTCTGGACAGAGGACAGGCTGGTCCCTCTGGTATTTGTTCCAGAGCCTCAGAGGACATTCGAATATCTGACGGCAGGGACAGGGTGGGGCTAACACCAGCAGACAAAACAGAATAAAGCGGAATAGAAAGATCTCCAAGGGAAGAAACAAACACATTTAAAACCCAAGGCTGGGCCGGGTGGATCACGCCTGTAATCCCAACACTTTGGGAGGCTGAGGTGGGAGGATCACTTGAAGTCAGGAGTTCAAGACCAACCTGGCCAATATGGCAAAACCCTGTCTCTACTAAAATATGAAAATTATCTGGGCATGGTGGCACATGCTTGCAATCCAGCTAGTTGGGAGGGTGAGGCAGGAGAATTGCTCGAACCTGGAGGTGGAGGTTGCAGTGAGCTGAGATGGCACCATTGCACTTTAACCTGGGTGACAGAGTGAGACTCAATGCATTTAAAACCCTTTCCTCCCAGCAACCCACATGGATTACAAAGCCACATTTACCTTTCAAAGTAAATAGCAGTCAGCCTCAAGCAGCAAGGAGACTCAAATAATGGCCAGCATGTGTTGATACTGATAGTGACCCATAAATCTCAATTTCTTTGGCAGAGAATGTTGGGTGGTGGTTTAATTCCGGGCCATCAGAGTAGAAGGAGAGAGATGCACCTCTGCCGTGGATCTTAGCAGAGCATCCTTGGAAATACGATCCAATGAGCACAGAGTTTAGCACTAATCGATGGCCACCAACACACTTTGTAACATTCCATTACCCTCGTGGGGTGGGCTGAAGCATGGAGCAGCTGAGCCCGGGGTGCTCAAAGAGCGCTATCTGAGCAGCCGTCTAGGAAGGACAAAGGGCCCCTGGAGCCTCCTGGGCATGACTATCTGCTCCCTCCGCCCCGGGCCCCCACCTCTGTTTGAGCCCCGCTCTGCCCCTGGTGTGCGCCAAGAGCACTTTCCACCCTGCCAAACCTTCTTCCAAAGTCTCTCCTGCTTCTCTTCTTGGTGAGTTTCTCAATCATGTGTGGCTGGTCCCCAGCCAGGTTATTGTCTTTCAGGGGAGATAAGAAACCTTTCTCCCACTTGTCGGTTTTTTTTCTGTCTGAGAGTGGAGATGAGTGGCCCCCACCCCCTGTTCTGTCATTTGAAAAGGCATGTTAGAGTCGGGTAGAGTGGCTCATGCCCGAAATCCCAGCACTTTGGGAGGCCGAGGTGGGCGGATCATCTGAGGTAAGGAGTTCGAGACCAGCCTGGCCAATGTGGCGAAACCCTGTCTCTAAAAACAATGAAAAAGAAAAAAAGAAAAGGCATCGTAGTTGCCCTGTAGTTACGACTCGCCGCTCTGCTAAGTGTTTGGCACATATTTCACCGAATCCACAGTAGCTGTGTGATGTTGGGCCAGTCATCTGACCTCTTTAAGCCTGTGAAAAAATTTTTTTTTGTTGTACTCGCTTCAGTAGCACATATACTAAAATTGGAACGATACAGAGAAGATTAGCACGCCCCTGCACAAGGATGGCACGCAAATTCGTGAAGCGTTCCATAAAAAAATTTTTGTATTTAAAAAAAAAAAAAATTTTTTTTTTGTTTTATTTTGAGATGGAGTCTCTGTCTGTCTCCCAGGGTGGAGTACAGTAGCACCATCTTGGCTCACTACAACCGCTGCCTCCCAGGATCAAGTGATTCTCCTGCCTCAGCCTCCCGAGTAGTTGGGACTACAGGTGTGCGCCACCACTCCTGGCTAATTTTTTGTATTTTTAATAGCGATCGGGTTTTACCATGTTAGCCAGGCTGGTCTCGATCTCCTGACCTCATGATCTGCCCACCTTGGTCTCCCAAAGTGCTGGGATTATAGGTGTGAGCCATGGCACCTGGCCAATTTTTGTTTTGTTTTGTTTTTTTGTTTTGAGACGGAGTTTCGCTGTTGTTACCCAGGCTGGAGTGCAATGGCGCCATCTCGGCTCACCGCAACCTCTGCCTCCTGGGTTCAGGCAATTCTCCTGCCTCAGCCTCCCAAGTAGCTGGGATTACAGGCATGCGCCACCGTGCCCAGCTAATTTTTTGTATTTTTAGTAGAGACGGGGTTTCACCATGTTGACCAGGATGGTCTCAATCTGTTGATCTCGTGATCCACCCGCCTCGGCCTCCCAACGTGCTGGGATTACAGGCGTGATTTTTTTGTTTTTTTGAGATGGAATCTCCCTCTCTTGTCCCAGTAGAGTGCAGTGGTGTGATCTAGGCTCCATGCAACCTCTGCTTCCCAGATTCAAGTAGTTATCCTGTCTGCGCCTCCTAAGTTGCTAGAATTACAGGCACATGTCCCCACACCCGGCTAATTTTTGTATTTTTAGTTGATACAGGCTTTCACAATGTTGGTCAGGCTGGTCTTGAACTGCTGACCTCAGGTGACCCACCTGCCTCAGCCTCCCAGAATGCTGGGATTACAGGCATGAGTCACCGTGCCCAGCCTGTTTTTCCATTTTTTGAATGGGGACAACACTAGCATTTTCCTTTCAGGGTTTCTAGGGGTTAAGTGGAATCTTCCAGGGAAGTTCCTAGCCAGGCCTGACATATGGTGAAGGCCCGCTTAGGCCTGCTGGCCTCTGCCAGTGCTGGGTGAGGTGCTTTCTTCGCACCCGGAGAGCCTGAGCCAGCCATGCTGCAGGGCACCCGTGGTCTGTTTTGGGTCTCCTCCCCAGGGAGGGAGTGCATTTTACTTACCTTTGCCTCCCTAGTCCTGGGCTCAGATAATGATGCAGAGTATGTGCTTGATAAATGCGCGTGTAGTTAGGAAGTAAAGGACGAAGACTGTAGGTGAGCCCCAGAAAGCCCTGGTCCTGAGCTAAGAAGAGGGGGCTGGGGGACCCTGATGGGGACATAACACATGCCTTCACTTGCTCCACGGGAAAGTTGCAAGAAACTGCTTGAAAACTGCTTAGAAACCTTTTGGCAGACAGGAAGGGACTTGAAGAGCTCCCAACCCTAGTCCAGGTGGGTGGAGAGTGATTCATCCAAAGTCACACGGCCATTTGGTGACAAAATTTGGATCCTAATTTATGGTTGAAGTTTACAAGCATGGGAAGTATTTGATAGCATGTTAGGAGCTTATAGCAAAGGGCCTGAGCTTCCGCAGGAATAGACATTACTAGAAACAGCCAGAAGACCCTAGGGGAGGCAGCTTGGAGTAACTTTCTGGGTCCTACTTCCCGTTTCTGGTATCTATTAGGAGCCTTCAGCCTGCCACCCCTCCCACCCTCTCCCCACGGCCACTGCCAGGTCTGCTTCAAGGCCAGGCTGAGCAAGGTAGTTCTTTCCCCAGCCTTCTCCATCAGGTCTGGGCACTTGGTGGGAAGTGCATGAGATCACGTGTCAGGTGCGTGCAGAACAACACTGGCCTCATTTCAGACCTCATGGCACTCTTTTACTAGTTGGGAACATGACTGTTAGGCTGCGTGAGCCCAGTTTCCTCATATGTAGAGTGAGAATAACTGTACACTTTATGGATGACAGGTTATTGTAAGAATTCGGCCGACTTAAGCAAAATGCTAGATGTCATATAAAGGGGTGTCTGGTTGGATTTGAGTCAAGGGCCTGTGTCTTATTCTTCTTGGTGTTTCTTCGCATTTCCTTGTCCCTCCGATGCTAGAACACTGCCTGTGTTTAGCTGTAGGTGCTAATTACCAGTTCATGGGAGAAATGAGAAGTTATTTTGTGACTTTTAGAACTTTGCTTCTCAAAGAATAGTTCAGGGACCAGAGGGATTGGCATCACACAGACCACCTGTTAGAAATTTGGGCTCTTGGAGCTCATCCCAAATCTACTTTAAAAACAAACAAACAAACAAAAAACTGTGGTTGTATCCAGCTCCCCAGGTGATCCACAGGCATATTAAAGTTCGCGAAGCTCTGCGGTGGAAAGCAGTTTGAAGCGGGGAGAACTGGAAACCCTCATTAAGGTCCTGAGCATCGTGGTGAAGTGACATGCACGAGAGCTGTGCAAACACGATGTGCAGTCCCCTCTTCTCACTCTTGCTGGTCAGCGACGGGTTTCCTGGTTCCACAGAAACTCAGGGACTTAGAATCACTTCTATAAGATCCATGATGGGAACAGAGCCAACCTGTGTGTGTGTGTGTGTGTGCGTGTGTCAAGGACTTAGAATCACTTCTATGAGATCCATGATGGGAACAGAGCCAACCTCTGTGTGTGTGTGTGTGTGTGTGCGTGTGTGTATATGTGTGTGTGCGTGTGTGCGCACACGTGTTTGTGCATGTGTGCACGTGTGTGTGCGTGCACGTGTATGTGTGTGCGTGTGTGTATGTGTGCGTGTGTGTGTGTATGTATATGTGCATGTGTGCGTGTGTGCACACGTGTTTGTGCATGCGTGCATATGTGCACGTGTGCGTGCGTGCACGTGTATGTGTGTGCGTGTGTGTATGTGTGTGTGCATGTGTGTGCGTGTGTATATGTATGTGTGCATGTGTGCGTGTGTGCACACGTGTTTGTGCATGCGTGCATATGTGCACGTGTATGTGTGTGCGTGTGTGTATGTGTGTGTGCATGTGTGCGTGTGTGTATATGTATGTGTGCGTACGTGTGCACACGTGTTTGTGCATATGTGCACGTGTGTGTGTATGTGTGTGCGTGTGTGTATATGTATGTGTGCACACGTGTTTGTGCATGTGTGCACGTGTGTGCACATGTGTGTGCGTGTGTGTATGTGTGTGCATGTGTGCGTGTGTGTATGTGTGTGTGCATGTGTGTGCGTGTGTGTATGTGCATGTGTGTGCGTGTGTGTATATGTATGTGTGCATGTGTGCGTGTGTGCACACGTGTTTGTGCATGCATGCATATGTGCACGTGTGTGTGCGCGCGCGCACGTGTATGTGTGTGTGTGTGTTTCAGAGAAGACTTGTGTTCTGGCGGGCAGACCTCCCTCTCAGCTGCTGCTCCTGTCACAGATGTCGAGGGCAGACGAGTCAACAGCCCAAGCTACTTCAGAGCCCAAGTGGTCACTTCTAGGTTGGGAAGGAGGGCAGGGCTGACTTAGGTCTCGGGGGCCTCTGGGATGCTTTTCCGTTATCTCCGGCAGGGGTACAGAATTTGTCGGATGAAATTACTTCAAACTCACTTACTTTTTTCTTTTTGAGATGAAGTCTTGCTCTGTCACCCAGGCTGGAATGCGGTGGCATAATCTCAGCTCACTGCAGCCTCCACCTCCTAGGTTCAAGTGGTTCTCCTGCTTCAGCCTCCCGAGTATCTGGGACTGCAGGCACTCTCCACCATGCCTGGCTAACTTTTATATCTCTAGTAGAGAAGGGGTTTCACCATATTGGTGAAGCTGGTCTCGAACTCCTGACCTCAAGTGATCTGCCTGCTTCTGGCCTCCCAAAGTGCTGGGGTTACAGGCATGAATTACCACACAAAACTGACTTACTTTTTAAAGGTGTATGTTGCTTAGCCCTGTGATGAAGATTCAAACATGCAACAGCCATTTGCCATGTGCCTGCTCCATGCCGGGCCTGTGTGGGTCCTGGGGAAACCACAGTAGCTAAGACTGGCCGTTACCCTGGCGTTGCTTATCCTCCTGCAGGGAGAGGGGTGTGCGAGCAGCTAGGTAGGCACAAGGAGCTGGCGCCACGGAGAGAGGTGTGCAAGGGGCCACGGGCCAGTGGACAGCACAGATGAGCGTCAGCATTGGCACCAAGCGACCAAGATGCTCACGACCTCAGACCCTGCGGAGACAGGATGGAGACGCAGCAAATGAGGCAACGGGAGGATGCTGAGTGGATCCCGGTCTGAAAAATGCTACAAACAACAATCTTGGGGCAACCGGGGGACTTGGAGTCAGGTCTGGATATTGGACAATATAAAATGATCTTTAGATTTCTCAGGTGTTGTGATGGTACTGGCACTATGTAGGAGAATGTCCATAGTAGGAGACATTCATTCCAGCTACGCAGGAGGCGGAGACACAAGAATTGCTTGAACCTGGGAGGTAGAGGTTTCAGTGAGCCAAGATTGTGCCACTGCACTCCAGCCTGGGCAACAGGGTGAGACTCCGTCTCAAAAAAAAAAAAAACAAAAAACATATACTAGCTTACAAATATTTAGAATTGAAGTATTATGATGTCTCCAACTTTCCTATGGAATATACATGTGCATTTCTTTCTGTTTCTTTCCCTCTCGTCTCAACAGGTTTTAAAAGTGACACACGCATAAATATGCACAGAGAGAGTGATATAAAGATATATACCAATATGCAAACAATTACTGAGTCTAACCTATAGGGAAGATGGAAATTAATCGTATCATTGTTTAAACTTCCTTCTGTATTCGAATACTTTTGTCCCGAAAAGTAGAGAAAACCACTGGGAGTCATGCATGAATCGGGCGAGTATTATGAAGTGACTGTTTAGGAAGTCGATGCCCACTCGTGTTAGTCTTGTGGCCAGCGATGGATAATTTGCGAGTGCGTTCACTTACACGGTCTCGCTTCATCCTCAAAACAGCCCGGCGTGGGGGGGTCTTTATAATAGTCGTCATCTCTTTACTAATG